ACTTAGCAGAGCCAGAACTAGAACTTAGTTGTCCTGGTTCTTGTTCCAGGATCTTAAATGTTAGATCCTGTGGTGGCTGTTGGAAGGTTTAGAAATGTTGTAACTGATTAGGATAATACATGTTAACTTCAAGTATAATTTACAACTAATGGTTCAGATTCTGTTTTCTCTCTGGCGATGTTCGCTTGGGGTTCTCTGAAGTATGAAAGGTATGAGAGCAAACAATAATTCCACTATGTAACCTTTCAGAGTTTCTTCTTAACACCTGTGCTTGGTATGCTGTACTCAGGAAAATGAACACAGCTTTCTTAAAATATATTGGTTGTGTAAAGGAAATACTCTTGGAGGAATAAACACACATTTAATGCTCGTGATAAATGTTAGACAATTTAATATAGCACTGTTATCTAGTGTTGTAAGTGAGCAGCAGTCTTTTTAAAATTATTGTAACAGTTTGTCTTTTTTGTTCTCAAATGTTTTTTTTAGGGCAATGTGGTTTTTTTGAAGGGAAAAAAAACCAACAGAAAACAACCTAGCTTTGTAGGTCAGCAACCCGCCCTTTAAAACATAACAAACAACCCTTTCTGGTCATTATGCTTACATTGTAAGGAAACTAAAGATGACACAAGCCCCTATGCACACTCATCAACTTTTAAGTCTCTGCATATAAGATTTGCCATTTTTGCCTTGTTTCAAATTAGATATCTGGTTTGATTACTTTCACAGTGGAGGATGAGCCTTTCTGACGTCTACCAATTGTGTAATGCAGTATAGTTAGGAAATGGTATGATGAGACTATATATTTTATTTACCTGAATCCAAGGTGACCCTGAATTTAAGACATGCACATAATTAGATTCTATAGATGGAAAATTATAAAAAATTTATAATTTTCCATGTATAGAATCTAATTAGTAGAAGGTCATCTTAAATTCATACCTCCAAAAAGCAGTGTGGGGTGGGGAGAGGTTTGACCCTTGCCCCCTCATTCCTCTAACTGCCCCCCTCCTCTCCTGCTCACTACTGTTGCCTGCCTCCCCCACTCTCTGCCCACCTTCCCTACCTTCTACAGAAGTCTTGCTGTGGATCAGGGCACTCAAGCAGTGATGGCTCTGCCCAAGCCCAGCCCATATTGGCCAGAGAGACGTGATGGCAGGTCCTGGCCAGGCCAGGTCCGGGCTGGAGGGACTGGAGTTGGAGCAGAAGGTAAATGGTAGAGGGGGAAGCTAAGTGGTGACAGGAAATTAAATGAAGTGAGGGGACTGATGTGGGTTGGTTCAGTGGAAGACAAGCTGAGGGTAGTTTAGGTTCGTTGGAAAGGGCTATATAGATATATTCGCAAGACAGGTGTTGCCACAATAGTGGAAAGGAGAGACCGTAGTCAAGGTACATGGACAGGATATTGGTAGATTTTGCAGCTTGGCACATGATCATGAGTTCTGGCGGCAGGAGGTAAAAATCACTAATTTCTCATGGGGAATGGCAAGAAAGAAAATAATGATGGTGGATTCCTTTCTGATCTATTTAAGCCCGAGGAATATTAGGAAATTGAAAATGGTCAGTAATGCATGCCCAGAACCAATGCTGAAAATGATTTAACTGCTAGAGTTGATGGAGTGGGGAGAGGAGACATTTTTCAAAGCCTCTGAGTATCAGGACATTTCCACTAATGGTGCTGAAAAAGTTTTTACTCTTTGGCAGTGATCCTATATGCATGAACGATTGGTACAGGGAGAGGAAATATACTGATGAAGACTAGAGGCAACTATCTACTTCTAATATGATAAAGGGCTTGGTCCATCTGTCTCTGTCTGTAACGCTCTGGAGCACTCTGATTGGTTACTGAAGCAATCAATCAGAGTGCTCCAAGAGCATTATGGACAGGAGGTGGCGGCTGTGTGGTGGAGCGCCACCATGACGGTGGCGATGGCATGCGGAGGCGAGGCTGGCACCGCTGGCCTCGCCCTCCCCTGCCACGTTTCTTCCCCCAGCCCTGGGGGAGGAAACGTGGTAGTGGTGTGGGGTGCTGTATTTGCATATGCAGGGGGTGGAGGCGAGACAGGCTTCCCTCACCCCTGCTCCTGGGAGGCAGCATGGCAGGGGAGTTAGGGTTAGCAAACTCTCCCCCTTTACTGCTGCCTGCCCCTGCCCCTCCTCCCTCCCCCCTGTCATTCCTAATACTGGCAGAACCCTAAATGGTATCCTGCTTTGCAGAAAGTGAGAGGAAAAATCACAACTGGGAATGTAGAAGATATTTCTCTAATTTAAAACAAATCTTATTGCCTAAATTAAGATAATAACTAAAACACTGCAAAAAGGTGTATTTACTGTTATGTATTCTGCTTGATTATTGAATAGGCATTTTTACAGGTTCCTGAAAGAACTGCTTGTTGTGAGCTGTGTGATCAGAAACATGTTCCACAGCAGAATTAAATTAAAACATTGTCTCAGACTTGAATTGCCATTCCTGTATTAATAGAGCAAAATTTGTGGTTATTAAATAATGTATTATACAAGTAGCAGAAATAATTCATATGCCAAAGAAAACAAAGACTTGTCAGCCACTTAAATTGTCAAATTTGGTTCTCTGTAACTTTTCAGCTACTGTCTTGTCGCAAAACAAAATACTGTTGAGTGATGATAAAGAACATTAAAACAAGCTAATTGGTGCATAGCATTTATTGAATGCCCTGGTTTGATATTCTCTATTGGAACTTAAGAGTATTTTAAAGAGTATAGGCTAATAGTAGTTATATGTGGTTATATACATTGAGAATAATTGTGCCCTCATCTTCCAAAATTAAAATCCTTCTCAAGAATTTTTAATCTAAAGAATCTTCTGGAGGGTAGTTATATTTTCAAATTGAGATGTTTACTAGTTTTTAAAAAATTCTGAATATATCAAATATTAATTTTGAATGTTATATCCTGTTTACAGTGCATCTGATAAATGGCTAAAGAAAAGCTCCAGCCAAGTTAATGCAATACAGTTTTTATAAACTGAGTGCAAGCAAGCAGCAGGAAAAACAGTAATGTTAACTGGTCTGCTTCAGACCTATAGAGCATGATTGTTCGTTATGCTGTTAGGTTTTCTTCCTCTGATACAGTAACATTTATGGTAAAAGGAACTACAGACATGCTCTCGGCATATATGAAAGTAGGGAGTTGTTTCTTTTTTTAATATAACTTACATTGCGCCCTACATAGCAATCAGACTGCTGACAGCATGTGCAGTGTAGACAAGTTAACTGTGCCACACAAACTTTACGGTTTAACACAAGGAAATCAGAAGGTATTCATGTGTTCAGTAAGCTTCTTCTCTGGGACCCACTTCAGCAAAGTATACTGGGTCTGTAGTATTCTGCAGACCCAGTATACTACATGGATTGGCTCAGCGAGCTTTATCTTGCTCTGTTTATAACTCTCTCTCCAGTGCCCTTGACCTTGGAGCAGAGTTCATGGTTTCACAGCATAGTCCCTTCCTGTGAGGAATAGGTGGCACAGCTGAAACTCTGAATTATTTCCTCCTATGAACACCTTTATGCAAGGTGCCTTAAATCAGGGCTGTCCAACTTCTGAGTGGCTGGGGGCCACATGCTGTTCAGGCTCCCATCTGGTCTCCCATACCCCCACAGGAGCTGTGTGAACTCCCCAAACTCTGTTGGTGCATGGGCTTTGCAGACTCCCCAGCCTTTGCAGGCCATATTGCCCCACCCCCATGAACAGGACCAGGAAGTAGAAGACAGAGGAGGCAGTGGAGAATGCTGTAGCTGAGTGGGAGCGTACGGGCTACTCAATAACCCCTTGCAGGCCATGAGTTGGGCCATGAATCGGACAGCCCTGGCTTAAACTTTACTAGATTTAGGTGCAGGTATTGGTATATGAAAATGCAGAGTGGTTGTGTTGAAGCCCTAGTCAAACCCTACAATTTGGTTTGGAAGGGTCAGTATTATGGCTTTTTAAATTAAAATCCTAAAGATCACTTGTGTAGGATTAAAGTTTCTACAGGAACTTTGGATTTTCTTCTTTCAGATGTCACTTTTCAGTCCTGAACACACTGTTCTAATTTGACTTAAAAGGAACAGCTAATGCATAAATCAAAAGAACAGTAAATTATATTCTAGGTTATATAGCTAGAACTCCCTGTATTTAAGTGGGGGAGGGAGGGACAGAAGGGTCTAATTGTAAGGGGATACTTCCTTTCATAGCCTAGACATGACCCCAAAATGACTAAGCTTCAGCATGCCAGTGTGTGCTGACAGGGCTAAATGACCAACTAGGGCTCCCTTACAACCTACAAATGTGACATATATTTAACAGAATCCATTGACACTTTGCAGCAAGCTGTAGTTAAGTGTAAACATTACAGGTACAGAGTGTGAAAGAACTATAATAGTTCTTTAAATAGTGTGAAACATTTAGAAAACATGTGGAATGAAGGCAGGTAGAAAAGATATGTGAAATAGCTTGTCTTGTTTGTTGGATATTTTGAAGACTTGCATTACTTACAATGCAGATACAAGATAGATTCATGACACAGTAATAATGTTTTCAAGTCTCAGTTCCTTGTCCAGTAATGTGGAGATGGAGAACTCTGGTAACATGAGTGCATGACATAATGAATTGGGATGTCTTCTTGCATTTCAGTCTTAGCTGGAGATATGCTGCGTGCTCCCCCGATTCTTCCATTCCACAGAAAAGTTCCATCTGCTTTCTGTTACTTTCTTCCACAAATATATCTTTTCTGGGAATGATCTTTGTTTCCTTGCTACTGCTCCGTATACAAATATATCCCTCCAGCTATCTTGATATAGGAAACTAGGCTATGTGCTGGGAGAAAGTTACACATTTTGCTGGGGTATTAGATTCTCTGCACAATTCTTTTAAAGAAATAAGTCATTAAAAGTCTCAAAATGCATGGATGCACTTTTCTTTTAGAGCGTTCCGTTTAGATTTTTTTTTAAAATTCAAGTAACCTTTTTTTTCTCTTATTTTTCCAGTCAATAGCCTCAGCAGACATGGATTTGAACCAACTGGAAGCCTTTCTTACTGCCCAAACCAAAAAGCAAGGAGGTATCACAGCAGATCAAGCAGCAGTCATTGCAAAATTTTGGAAAAGCCACAGAACAAAGATTCGAGAGAGCCTGATAAATCAAAGCCGGTGGGACAACACCTTGAGAAATGTGAATTGGAGAGTAGATTTGAAGTCACAGTCAAGACACATTGATCAAATAAACACCCCTGTTGCAATAGTTGAAATGGAGCTGGGGAAAAATGGGAAGGTGAGTTTTTTCCGTTTATTTTATAAAGTTTGATTTAGGGATGTATGCATACGAATGTACAACAAACCATTTTGCCTATAGATTAATGTAGTGCATCCAAATCAGATCCGTATGCTGGTTAAATGCAGCTGTTTAATTCCAGTTTCTCATTGTGTTTGAACCTTTTTGCACCCTCTTTGGGTCTTCCCCTCCATTAGTCCATAATTTAGATCTCAAATCCAATTACTACCCCTACTTAATTTATATCCTGAATCTCTGAGTCACAGAAGGCAAACAGTTACTGGGCGTTTCTGGTTATGTTAGAGCTATTCTGAAAGTTGTTTGCTATACAAATAATATGCTAAAACTATAGCAAGTTACTCTTATCTTTTAAACAAAAGCAAGTGTTAGAGAGATTGCCAAGAGGCCAGCTCTTCTGTGTAGAATGAACAGGGAAATTCAGTTTTAACTTGCTGAAGACTGCTTTTACTTTAGGATTAGACATGCTTAAGAGATTTGTTCTTTATATAGTATATTATTTATCATGAAGTTACGGATATTTCTCAGAGCTTTTACTGTTTTATGTAGTCAAGGTCTGTTTGAAGGAGATGGCTTGACAGAGTAGCTGCTGAAAGCCGGAGTTGGGATTCATTCTTTTCTTTTCATCTTTTTTTTTGAAGCTTTATGATTCAGATAAATAGATAATCAGTTTCCATAATGTAGATACTTATTTTCTTGAGAGAAGAAATTTGCTTTGGTATCTCTTTCTTTTCAGCATATTTGAAAACCTTGGAGCTTTTACCTAAGCAGCACACTGTTAGTAGTTTCTACCAATCACTGTTTGGAAATCCTTCCTTTTTTGTGTCTTTGTGACACAGCATTTAGCAGAATTCACAGATTTGCTGGAATTTGATGTGGCTGTGCTGTGAGCACTTCTTTTATGGCCTTAAACTTGCGACCTCTGGGCTGTTGATCATTTGCCATAGCACCTGCAGCATACCAGCTCCCGTTTGGAAATAACACTCTATTCAGTATGGGTTTGGTAAGAAATTTTAAAAGACTGCAAGGATTTAATTATTGTTTTAATGCAAAATGGAGCCTGTGATAAGCATACCATGCTGTGTTGTGCCCTTGCTTACTTTTGTGTAGTCATGTTGATTTAACTGGCATTGCGGGAGACCAGAATGTGATTTTAAAGGTGTGCAAATAAAGAGTGAGTACAGCCTCTTCCAAAGTAGCATTCTGTTTGCTTTAACAAATGGCATTTTGTATGGGAGACCTTATTTATTCAGTCCAGCTCTTTGGGTTTTTGTTATCTAGCTTTTCAAGTCTTTTCTAGAGCACCCATCCCTATATGGGTTGCTGCCCCTTCTCCATTTTTGCATTTCTACAGTGTGTACAATGTGTAAGGTATAACGCATTTCTTTTCTATTTTCAGTAATGGTGAAGGGTTTTTATTCAATGTCTGCATTTTAAGATGGCAAATGACAAAGAAAAAACTCAACGTTATAAACAAGTAAAATGCAGAACTTTTGCAGTTTCTCATAAAGTTCTTAATTCTTGTTTTTTCCTTTGTAGATTTCTGCGACACACAATAATTCACACTTTTTATCTTGCTGGTAACGGAGGGGGGAACATAAAGGAGGCAGATAACAGGCGTTTCTGAGAAATATGATCCCTATTTTAAAAAAGAAAAATCACAGCAAAGTATTCAATTTATGTAAAAAATATTTAGTCGTTGCCCACATGAATAATCTTAACAATTTCATTTTGTATTTTAGTCATATTAAAGGCAGGGGATTTTGGAAATATGCATTTTTAAACTACCCTGAGGTCAAAATCCATTATGCTCAGTGAATAAAAGGCTACTCAATATAAATAAAGGTATTGGAATCTCACCTTTAAGAATAAGCAAACAAGGATTAATTAGGCTTCTTATCATTTTGGAAAATTTGACTCAGAATTTGTATATATTTATAAATATTGCTTCAGAGAACTTTAGGGTTTGAGTTTAAATAGGGTTGTCATTTTTCAGGGGTTTGTTCTTAATTGCTGATTGTTACATTAATATTTTGGCCAGTTAGAAGTCCTTGGTACTTTCTTTTCAATTATCAAAATACATACACTGGTGTCTGTCCATAATTTAATAGATAAACCTGTTTTTCCTCAGCTATAAAAAGACTGAAGGTATATTTGATTTGATCTGACAGATTTTGAAGGATTCTTCTTGAGTCTGTTTGAGAGCTTGCAAATGACTAAATTATTCAGAATGAAGCGTTTTCATGTGGACACTTGAAAGCAGGGGACATATGTGTGCTGATGTGGAATGCATTGATATAAATATTTTATTTTGTTTAAACAGAAGTAGTGAAAAGATCTGTAGGAAGTACATCCTTCTAGAATTAATATCAGTCAGACAGATGCTGCTTATTTTTTTTATTTCTGGAACTAACCAGAATTTAGGATAGTCCAGGGCAGTGTCAGATATTGTCTGCTTTAAAATTGTAAATACATTCGTAACTTTAACTTTTTATGGGTTGCTGTGTTTGAACTTAAACATGTCAGTTGTCTTATGACTGAATTTTTTAAAGGAATTAATAAGCAAGATGGCTCTGCTGAATAATAACACAGGACCAAGTAAAACGTGCTGTGTCAAACTGTTTTAATGTTTTTGGATTTGTGTATGCATGTAATTGAAATACATTTATAAATTTAATAAGACTATCTTATATTCATATGTGATCCTTGGGACCTCTGACAGTGTGGGAAAAGAGTGCCCTCCTATAGCCAGGTACATATACCGCTAACATATGATCTCAAAATGAGAAATATGTCCAGTCCAAAATCACAGTTACTAATATTCTCAAAACTTTCAGAATTTTTAATTTGGATCTTGAATTTGCATCATGGCCTTTACTCAAGTGAAGACTTAAGAATGACATTTTAAAGTTTCTTTTGTGCCTACAGAATGTGGCTGTTGCCTGACTTAGGTTTTTCAAAAGAGCACAGACAAGTTTGCTATCACCATTCAGCTTCACTGACCCCTATTCCTGTATGAATCTGACAGAAAATTGCCCTCTTGCACTTGCTTCATTGACTTGTTTCTTTATCTGCTCCTGACATTCTGCATTCATTACACTGGTCCTTTTTTCTTTCCTTGCCAACAGCTCATCCTTTTCCATACAAGAACCTTATCTTCTGCAATCTGAACAAGACTTGTCTCTCTTTTCAGGGTTTTTCATATTTTTCTCTTTGCTTCTATTTCATTCTTCCTTTATCAGTTACTGCTAGTTTTTTTTCCTTTAAAGCCTTTTCGTATACAGTGTTGGTGATCCAGAAGTAAATGTTATTTTTTGAATCATGGGTTGCTATTAAACTTTGAAGCTGTGCAATATATACTTAAACTTGCTTTATGGCTTATGCATACTTACCTTTTGCTTGGACACCCTTACTGGGCTACTTTTCTCCTTATCTAATGCTCAAAACCATTTGGGCTAAGTACAGACATTCAAAAAGCTTGAACCTGTATTGATTCTATCTTTGCAGGTTAGTTAAACCTGAGTATATCGAACTGATTTGCAAGTGAATAGATATTCACTTTTGATTCCAGAAATGCAGCCACATGCCTGCAGTGGCTCAAGCTAGAAGCCACTGAGGGCACTAGAGCAAGCCCTCCCTTCCCTTCAGCAGCTGATGCAAAGCTGGAGAGAAGCTTACTGGGGGGCCTGGGGGTGGGGCATGGCCAGGACCTGGTAGGCTGCTGAGTATGATTCGAGAGGGGTTTAAACCCTCACCCTGGCGTGCAGGGACCCCAGTCGAAGTGTGCCTGAGGAGGGGACGGGATAGCGGCCCTTGCCAGGTTTGTCTCTGAAGGAGGGGGATGTGGCGAGATACTGGCCAGGGCAGCAGCCTCAGGCAAAGGCGGAGGGGGATTAAACTTTCCCATTCCCCTTCTCTCCCATGGGCATGGGGACCCCAGCCAGGGTCTACCCAGTTTTCTGCCCCACTGGCCTCTTGTGTGGCAGGGACACGGCCAGACCTGGCAGCATGACCAGACTATCCGCCTCCGTCACCCAGGGCTGGGGCTGCAGGTGCTGCTGAGGGTGGGTGCGGGGGTGGGGGCTGGCTTGGGCTGGGCCATGTGGGCAGGGCCCTTCCCAGCCAGCTGCAGCTTGGGTTGGGGCCGCAGGAGCTGTGCACCTGGATTGCACCTGGCTTCCAATGCCCAGACCGGGCAAAATTGCATAGGAGGGTAAAATTCACCTTGATGATTTTAATCAGTTTTCCTTTTACTGAAGACAATTATTTGTTTCCAGACAAATTCTTTTTTTTCTTCTTTTTTTTAAATAAAAAACAAATGCCAAGTATAGGTGATACCAACTAGTCACTGCACAGCTGAGGGTTCAAAAGGCAAAAATACTATTCACCACTTGAGGGAAAACCAAATCTAGCATGTCATATGCTATATGGGAGTATTACACAACAAATTGTAACATGCCAGATATTAAACCAGTTTCTCTGGATAAAAATGGCATCTCAGCTGCAATTAAGTTGCTTGTTGGAACAACAGCAACTTTTTAGCATGGAAGTATCCTGTGATAATTTTAACATATGGCCAGTTGGCAGGTTACAATTTGTTGCATGATACATTTGTTATGTGTTACATGTGAGTAATGGTTTGCCAGGGGCCTCTCTTGCTTGCAGTCCACTGCAGTGGAGAGTCCATGAGTAATAAGATAAACTTTGCAAACCATTGTGGTTTAAGCTCTTGACAACTTCCTCTCTATCAGTTTCTAGCACATGTGAGAACATAGAGCTCTTACATTTTAACACTTCACACTGATGAAACTATACAGAATTAAATCTATACAATGTATTGATAAATTTTCCTAGTGGTTTATCTGTTTATCACTGCAATATGGCTGTTTCATGTGAATTTCTTGGGATATTTATATTTACAGTAACTTTTTATAGAAATGGCACTTTCCTGCCTATGGGATTTTAAGAACAGTATGTTTTAT